CTTGCTCTCGATCGCCAAACCTAGAGCCTGGAGACAGGGCCTAACTTAGGGATTCTGGGGTTTGGGGTTTAGGGTTTAGGGTTTAGGGACGTTGGCGGGGGGGATTAGGGCTTGAGATTTTTAGCGGTTGGCGTGCTCAGGGTTTTCGGGGGTTTGAGGGTCAAGGTCAAGGTGTTTGGGTTCGGGGTTGGGCCCCCCGTTGTTGCGAAAAGCCTTGAGACGAAGACCCTACCGAACATGCACGTTTGCTTGTAGCCCTGAAGCCTTCAAGCCCAAAGACCTAAACTAGACCCCACACCTAAATCCTACAGGACCTTCAAACCACCTGAATCCTACACCTTGATCCCTAAACCCTAACTAATAAATAAATAAATAAAACCCAAAACACTAGTCTTAAACCTAAACCCCAACCTTTATCCCCTAAACCCAAAGCCTTAAGCAAAAGCAACCATAGACTCAACTTTTTCGTGGGCCCGCTCTGAGGGGCCAGCAGGTTGTAGCCCGTTCTGCTCGATCACCGCATACGCGATCCTGGACATTTGGGGGTTTGGGGGTTTTCGGGCTTCAACCCTGTCGCTACAAAAGCTATCATGCTTAAACCCTAAACCCTAAACCCTATACAAACCCTAAACCCTAAACCCTAAACCCTTACAGTATCAGACGGTCTCAAGGAAGTTCATACTTGGGGGTTGGAGGCTTACGAAGCTACCGGGCTTTAGGGTTTAGGGTTTAGGGTTTAGGGTTTAGGGTTTAGGGTTTAGGGTCTACGGTTTAGGGTTTAGGGCTGGAGGGTGTCCTGAGGGGCTCGGGTTGCTCGAGGGAAGGCTGTAGAGCTGCAGGGGCTAGGGTTTAGGGTTTCGGGTTTCGGGTTTAGGGTTTGGGGTTTAGGGTTTAGGGTTTAGGGTTTAGGGTTTAGGCTTTAGGCTTTAGGCTTTAGGGTTTAGGGTTTAGGGTTTAGGGCTTAGGGTTTAGGGCTTAGGGCTTAGGGTTTAGGCTGTAGGGTTTAGGGTTTAGGGTTTAGGGTTTAGGGCCTTCACGGTGAGAGAATGGACGGACACAAGAGCACAGAGAGGTGCCTGCCTGAAACTTCTCAGCTTCTCAGCAGCCCAAACTTTTCGGGCTAAGCCCCTAAACCCTAAACCCTAAACCCTAAACCCTAAACCGTGGTAAGAGCGTTTTTTTTTTTGCGGGTGCTTTTTTGCTGTGGGTGCGGGGGCGCGTTTTTTTTTTTTGCTGCGGGTGCGGGGGCGTTTTTTTTTTTTTTGCTGCGGGTGCGGGGGGCGCGTTTTTTTTTTTGCTGCGGGAGCGGGGGCGTGTTTTTTTTGTTGCGGGTGCCGTGGGGGCGCCTTTTTTTTTGCTGCGGGTGCGGAGCGTTTTTGCTGTTTTCTCTATATTTTACTATGAAAACCTTTATTTTCTCTAATGTTAAATAGGAAAACCTCTTTCTCCTCTATATTTGAATAGGAAAACCTCTTTCTTCTCTATATTTGAATATGAAAACCTCTTGAAAACCTCTAGTTTTTCTAATTTCTCTATACTTCAATTCGAAAACCTCTATTTCTCTCTATTTTATAACTAAAACCTCTATTTCTCTCTATTTTTGTCTATATCGTCATAGTTTTCCTCTATATTTAATGAGGAAGACATGAGAGAGGAATACATGAGAAACTTATTCTCTGTGTTATCTCAATATGCGACTTGCAATTAAAAGTGTTTTGGTTCCTCTTGTCCTAATTTTAATCGGAAGCCCATTATTTTCTCTGTCTCTGAATAGGCAAACCTCCATTGTCTTAACATTTGAACATGAAAACCTCTGTTCTCTATATTTGAATATCAAGACCTCTACATTTTAATATTTTCGTATGAAAGCCTCTATTTCCTCTATGTTGTCATAGGAAGCATCTAATGTCTCTATATTGTATAGCGAAAACCTCTATTGTTCTATAGTTTCTTATTTTGTCAGTATTTTCAGACTTCTTCTCTTTATTTCACGAGGAAGACATGAGAGAGGAATACATGAAAAGCTAATTCTCTATATTGTCATAAGAGTACATGCATTATCTCTATTTGTGACTCGTAGACAACAAGTGTTTTTGTTCATGTCTCATAACACAAGCTCTATTTTCTCGATTCTTTACTAAGAAGACGTTTATATCTCTATTTTTAAACGGAAAATTCAACTTCCACCATAAGGTCTGAATTTTCGTAGGAAAGCAAGCATATATTCCCTCTTTCTTCAGGGGGTTGGGGGCTGCGCAGACCGCCGCATTTGAAAACACAATGCTCGCATCATGGGTTTGGAAGGGATTCGTAAGCTTTGAAGCAGGCTTGCCGGCTAAAAAAAGCGGGGGGGTTGGGGGGGGCGCAGCCCCCCCCATTTGCAAACACAATGCTCGCATCATCATGGGTTTGGAAGGGATTCGTATGATTGAAGCAAGTTTGCCCGGCTAAAAAGCGCAGCCCCACCCCACCCCCCTTTCAAGCGGGGGGGAATGCTCTCATGATGGGTTCGGAAAGGATTCATTTGCTTTGAAGCAAGCGGCATGGCTTTAAGAAGCGGGGGGGTTGGGGGGGGCGCAGCCCCCCCCCTATTTGCAAACCCAATGCTGGCATGATAGGCTTGGACAGGATTCATATGCTGAGAAGCGACCTGGCACGGTTTTAAAGAGGGGGGGGGGTCGGGCGGGGTGCAGCCCTCCCTCCACCGTTTGCAAACACAATGCTCGCATGATGGCCTTGGGAAGGATTCAGTGCTTTGAAAACGCTTGCACAGTTTAAAGGAGGGGGGGCGTTGGGGACGGGGTTGGGGAGGAAATTGCAAAACAAATGACCTGGGGGGTGGGGAGGAAAGGGGGAGGGGGGGCGGGGCGGCGACTTTTCTTTTGCTGCGGGGAGGGGTCGCGTTTTTTTTTTGCTGCGGGCGCGGGGGCGACAGCGCCAGGTCACTCACTCACCTGGAGGGGGGGAGGAAGGGGGGGACGGGGGGGTGGGGGGTGGGGGGGGGGGGGGGGGGGGAGGGGGGGGGGAGGGGGGGGGGGGAGGGGGGGGGAGGGGGGGGGGGGGAAGGGGGGGAGGGGAGGGGGGGGAGGGGGGGGGGGGGGGAGGGAGGGGGGGGGGGGGCGCTTTTTTTTCTGCTGCGGGTGCGAAAAGCACCCACAGCAAAAAAACACCCACAACAAAAAAAAAACACGGGTTCCCCTAAACCCTAAACCCTAAACCCCTAAACCGTAAACCCTAAACCCTAAACCCTAAACCCTAAACCCTAAACCCTAAACCCTAAACCCTAAACCCTACCACGCCCCTTGTCTAGAACCCACCCCTGAAGGCATATGGACTCAGCAGCCGGCTGCGGGTCGGCGCTCACCTGCTCTCTGGCTTGGCAGTCAGAGTTCAGGGTTCAGGGTTTAGGGTTTAGGGTTTAGGGTTTAGGGTTTAGGGTTTAGGGTTTATAGGGTTTAGGGCTAGGGTTTAGGGTTTAGGGCTAGGGTTAGGGTTTAGAGCTAGACTTTGTGGCTGGGGTTAAGGCTTATAGTGCTTAGGTTCATTGGCCGTTTCTGTTTTTGGGAGAACTACTTGTACATATTTATGTACTTTTTTCCTTCTTTACATCTATTTGCCTAAACCCCAAACCCTAAACCGTAAACCCTAAACCCCAAACCCCAAACCCCAAACCCCAAACCCCAAACCCCAAACCCTAAACCCTAAACCCTAAACCCTAAACCCTAAACCCTAAACCCTAAACCCTAAACCCTAAACCCTAAACCCTAAACCCTAAACCCTAAACCCTAAAACTAAACAAAATAATGCTCTCAGAAGGCCGAGCCGCCGCTTGGCGAAGCTGGGCGGCAACGGCGCTGCGCTCCGGCGCCGGGGCGGCCTGGCCGTTGGCTCCGAGGCTTAGGGCTTGGGGCCGTTTAGGGTTTAGGGTTTAGGGTTTAGGGTTTAGGGTTTGGGGTTTAGGGTTTAGGGTTTAGGGTTTAGCGTTTAGGGTTTGGGGTTTGGGGTTTGGGGTTTGGGGTTTGGGGTTTCGGGTTTGGGGTTTGGGGTTTGGGGTTTGGGGCTTGCGGCCTTTAGGGGAGGGGGGGAGGGGGCAGGGAATTTGGGAGGCAATTGCATGTACGATAAGGTTGCCCAAAATAGGCTCCTTACAGATGGTCACAACTAAGATCTCGTGATAACGACGAATAGTAAGTAGCCTTCGTGTGACCATACCCCACCCTTCGTGTGGGGTTGTGAGATTTTACGTCAACCGTCCTCCTCGACCGGTGTGTCTCACATCTGACAGAGACTTGCGCGCAAAGTGCCCCGCCCGGAACCCCTCTGGAGCGCTTGCTCGAGTATCTTCGGGCTGGTTCTTAAGAGGGAATGAGGGAGTGAGGTACCCGATATACACCCGCATAGACCCTTTAAGGGATTATATGGGGAACCGCATTCCCTCATTCCCGACTAAGTTTTAGAGTGCGGGGTGAGCGAGTAGCCCTGGAGTGCCCATCCCTAGAGCTCGACTTCAAGTCAGCTTTCAGGCGACTGCGCTGGCATCGTTGAGATGCATCTTGTTTTGCAGCGACCTGTGTTAGACGGCTAGCTTCAGGGTGAGGAGGATGGAAGAACAACTTTAGAAAACCCTAAACCCTAAACCCTGGGCCCTGAACCCTAAACCCTAGGCCTTGAATGTCCCTCATTCCCGACTAAGGACCAGGGAGGCTCGCCGGCCCAGCAAAGTCCACTGCCGACCCCACTGCCTTGAACGCATCCAGATGGCTCTCGGCGACAGCTGCCGCCCGTTCAATGTGCAACCTGCCCCAGGGGAGGCTGTGCTTCCCGGCGTGGATTCGTAGGGGTTTAGGGGTTTAGGGGTTTAGGGGTTTAGGGGTCTAGGGGTCTAGGGGTTTAGGGGTTTAGGGGTTTAGGGGTTTAGGGGGTTTAGGGCTTTAAGAAAGGGTTCCGACTTGGTCTCTGGGCCCAGGCCGCCATCCTCGCGACTGCCGTCGATTCTGCATGCTGGCTCCGTACTAGTCACCCTTCCTTTTCATTTCTTGCCTTTTAATACACCTTTAACTTAACTTTCCTTTATATACCTTTTTCACTGAGGGAAGGAAAGTGACATTGACTTGTAGTAAGTAACGACGTCACCGGTAAACTTGGCTGCACTTAGCAGGGTAGGTATATGCTTATTTTTTAGCTGCCATATTAAGAAACCCAATAAACTCAAAAAGGCTATGGATCTAAAGTTACTGTAAAGCACCGCAGAGTAAGTCTCCTGTTACATGGACATGCCTGTCAAGATGCACGGCGGTTGCGCGTTACAAGTACAACAAGGCGTACTGGCTCATGCTTTGCATTAAGGAACTCTACGCAGCATCTCTCCAACATCAGATGAACGACCCCCCTGCGATGCTCTTAGCTACGCCCTGAGCCCAAAGCCTAGAAGCCCCCAGACCCAAGAGTAAACCTGGGAATCAAAAGGGTGCCCTTTTTGGTTTAACAGGGGCTTATAAGGGGACCTAAACCCCTAAACCCCCCTAAACCCCCTAAACCCCCTAAACCCCCTAAACCCCCTAAACCCCCTAAACCCCCTAAACCCCCTAAAACCCCTAAACCCCCTAACCCCCCTAAACCCCCTAAACCCCCTAAACCCCCTAAACCCCCTAAACCCCCTAAACCCCCTAAACCCCCTAAACCCCCTAAACCCCAAACCCTAAACCCCTAAACCCTTAAAAGAAACTCTGGGTCCTCGGCCCCCAACCCCAAACCCGAAGCCTGCCTTGCATCGCCGGGGCTTTGCAGGTAGGCCAACAGCTGCGCCTGTTCGTCCGAAACCCCAAACCCTAAACCCTAAGCCCTAAACCCCAAACCCTAAGCCCCAAACCCTAAACCCTAAACCCTAAACCCTAAACCCCAAACCCCAAACCACACCCGAACCCCAGATCCTGAACGCCAATCCCCGCACCCCTAAACCCCAAACCCTAATCAAACCCCTAAACCCCATACCCTAAACCCTAAACCCTAAACCCTAAACCCTAAACCCTAAACCCTAAACCCAATGGCTGCCTTAGAGCTGATGACCGGGGCGGCCCTGGGGCCCAGGGTCAGCACGAAGGTCTCCTCGTCCTCTTGGACTCTAAGGGTACATGGTCGCCCCTTACCTGCTTTAAAGGGTTCTGAAGTCTAGGGGTTTAGGGTTTAGGGTTTAGGGTTTAGGGTTTAGGGTTTAGGGTTTAGGGTTTAGGGTTTAGGGTTTAGGGTTTAGGGTTTAGGGTGTATACACGGGGTTTGGGTTCTCAGGGTTTACAAAGCACTTTTCGGGTTTAGAGCTTACGATTTGGTTTTGCAGTCTCGGGGTTTAGGGGTTTAGGGCAGTTTAGGGTAAGTTGATCACCGGTGGGCGACTTACTCAGACAACTGGATACCCAAAGAAAGGGCTAGGGTGTAGGCCTTCCAGAATAGAAGGCCTAAACCCTAAACCCCCCCTCCTAACCCTGAAAAATAGACCCTGCCAGCCGCCCTTTGGCGGTGTTTTTATTGGGGGGGGGGGGGGGGGGGGGGGGGTGAGGGTTTAGGGGGTTTAGGGGGCTTAAGGGAATAAAGGAGGGGGGGCGGAGGGGGTATCGGGGCCTGCGCCTACCTGCGAACCCGAAAGAGGGGGAGCCAAAAGACCTCGAGACGCCAAGCGTCTGAATCCTGACCTGAACACGAAGCCTCGAAACTCTAAACCCCAACCTCTGCCTGAGACCCTCTAAACCCTAAACCCTAAACCCTAATTAAACCCTAAACCCTAGACCTTAAACCCCAAACCCTAAACCCTAAACCCTAAACCCTAAACCCTAAACCCTGAACCCTGAACCCTGAACCCTGAACCCTGAACCCTGAACCCTGAACCCAAACCTCCCAACCCCGAGCTCCGACAAAAGGGAGCACTCCCAGGATTTCCGGGAGCCCGAAACCTCCGGCCCCCTAGGCTCGAAAACCGCTGAACCCTAAAAAAAGGCTCTAACCAACTCCTCCTACCCTAAACCCTAAACCCTAAACCCTAAACCCTAAACCCTAAACCCTAAACCCTAAACCCTAAACCCTAAACCCTAAAGCCCAACAATATCCGGAAGCTCCTCTGTGTCTGCAATCAGGCCCAGCTTCAGGCAGGCCTCGCGCACCTCCGTGTAGTGCAGGCGGGGGTGGGGGGGGAGAAGTTCCTCCTCTACTTGGCGGTTCATGGTACTTGTTAGCCAATAATAACTGTGCTTCTTATAACCCACATTGGGGCACTTAAGGGAGTTATAAGTGGGTTCTAAGTGCAGTTATAGTTGGTTAGCAAGTACCATGAACCTCCAAGTAGAACTTGAAAGCATTCAACAAGGCCCCAAAAGGTTTTAGCTCGAGGGTGGAATTGTTTAGGGTTTAGGGTTGAGGGCTTCGGGTATAGGGAAAGCCCAAACCTCAAGCCCTAAACCCAGCAATCGCCCAAATCCGACCTCCTCGCCACGGCCTGGCTGACCCCCCTCTTTTGAGAACGAATCCTTGAACCTGAACCTTAGGGTTTAGGGTTTAGGGTTTAGGGTTTAGGGTTTAGGATTTAGGATTTAGGGTTAGGGTTTAGGGTTGAGGGTTGAAAGATTAGGGTTTAAAGATTGGGGTTTAGGGTTTAGGGTTTGGGTTTAGGGTTTAGGGTTTAGGGTTTGGGTTTAGGGTTTAGGGATGGACTGACAGTGATTTCATCAGCCCCAGTAAACCGCGAAAGAAAAGAGAAAAAACAACCTCGAGCTCAAGCTCCAGAGACTTCTGGAGCTTTTCGATGGCATTGTTTGGGCTCAAAAGGGTTTAGGGTTTAGGGTTTAGGGCTTAGGGCTTAGGGTTTAGGGCTTAGGGTTTAGGGTTTAGGGTTTAGGGTTCAGCTCAACTGAATTTAGAGGTTTCTTTGGAGTTCCAAATGCCCGGTACAAAGTGTCAGGATCCCCTCGACATGTCAACGCCATAAACCTGCTACCCCCCCCGCCCCAGGGTTTAGGGTTTAGGGTTTAGGGTTTAGGGTTTAGGGTTTAGGGTCCGCCGACTGTGGCGGGGTGTTGGATGGGTTTGGGGAGGTGAAAACCTCCCTTTCCCCTATTCGGGGGCGTAGGGGGAGTATTTTGGCAGCTTTTCCATGGAGGGCCAGGCCACCCACACCGCGTAAACTCATGGACCATAGGCAGTTTCACACAGGACATAGAGGATCTTTGGAAAAAACCCACCCCTCCCCCCCCCCTACTCCCGCCGTCGCCCCGCGCCGCGCGGTGCCCTGGGGTCGGCAGCTTGAGCCGGAGGCTCTTAAATTTAGGGTTTAGGGTTTAGGGTTCAGGGTTCAGGCTTTAGGGTTTAGGGTTTAGGGTTTAGGGAAACAAATAACAGACAGGAAAGCCCAGAAGCCTGAAACCCTCTTAGAATGCTCTGTATAAAAAAGTTTAGGCCCCGCGTAACCCCATAGCCCCTCCTCAAGCGTGTCCCTTTCCCGCCTGGTCTTGTAGGCTCCGACTGGGCACAGGGTTTAGGGTTTTAGGGGTTAGGGTTTAGGATGGGTTCAGGGTTTAGGGTTTGCAGGGAGAAGGGTTCAAAAGGGTGCTAAAAAACTGAGTAGATTGGCCATGTCATTTTCTGCAGGGTTTGGGGGGTTGGGTGGGTGGGGTGGGCGCCGGTTGGGGGGGGGGGGGGGGCGGGGCAACAAAACATCAATCAAACAAAGAAACAGGGTTGGGGCATGATGCTGAGACTCTCAACAGCAACTGCATGATCCGCTCTCCGAATGATGGTCCATTTCGGGTATCCTAAACATAGGGGACCACCCTAAACCCTAAACCCTAAACCCTAAACCCTAAACCCTAAACCCTAAACCCTAAACCCTAAACCCTAAACCTTTAGGGTTTTTGGGGCCATACCTCAAAGAGCTTCTACAGTGACAGGGCCGGACCTGGAGTCAAAGTCGACCTTCTTGGCTTCGCCGCCAGGGCAAACCACAGACACCGACAGCCGCGCGGGCATCTGGCCGTTTAGGGTTTAGGGTTTAGGGTTTAGGGTTTGGGGTTTAGGGTTTAGGGTTTAGGGTTGAGGGTTGAGGGTTTAGGGTTTGGGGTTTAGGGTCAAGGGATTGGGGTTCAGGGTGCAGGGTTAGGGTTTAGGAGTTTAGGGTTTAGGGTTCAGGGTTTGGGGTTTAGGGCTTGAGGGGAGCCCCCCAAAACCCAGAACCCGAAACTCCCAGCCCTCAACCCACTACACTTTTGGGGCAATCACCAGCATAAGCATGCTTCAAGCGTCTTAAGCCAACCTGCAAACAGAAAAGGCCGACTTTTTTGCAGGCAGGGATCCGACGCCCAAAAACCCAATGAAGAATAGCACCTATCCCTTAAAAGACCTACAACCTACAAGCGCAACAAGCTCTCTGTAGTCCACAAACTCTATAAGCCCTACAACCCTGTACTACCCCAAACCATAAGCCCTCTGAACTGAACCGTTTTGTGACTCACAGTTCTCTCAGGAGGGCCTTGCCAGCCCCCCGTGGAATTTGAGGTGGCCTCGGCAGTGGAGGGATTGGGGTTCAGGGGTTTGGGGTCTAGGGTGTAGAGTTTAGGGAGTTGGGGCTTAGGGAGTTAGAAGGTTTTAAGCGGTTTGATTTTTTTTTTTGGGCGGGGGGGGGGGGAGGGAGGGGGTTGGAGGCCTTTGGATGGTTGAGGGGTCTGCGGGGTTTGGGGTTATTGGGGCGGGGGGGGGGGGGGGGGGGAGAGGGAGCTTTAGGGTCTTAAGGTTTCCAAGGGTTTAGGGCGGAGGTGCTTGCAGAGAGAGAAAGAATAAGAAAGAGAAACGGGGAGAGGGAGAGAGAGAGAGACAAAGAAAGAAAGAAAGAAAGAAAGAAATAAATAAAATAAAGAAGGAAAGAAATAAAGAAAGAAAGGAAGAAAGAAAGAAATAAAGAAAGAAAGAAGAAAGAAAGAAAGAAAGAAAGAAAGACAGAAAGAAAAAGAATGAAAGAACGAGG